GCTTGTATTCATTCTACAACAGTAAATAGGAAAAACTGGTGGTTTACGTTTGCAAAGGTCTACATCAAAACAATAGGAAGCACCCGATGATCAGCCTGCACGTAGTTAGATCCCAGCAACAACTAAAACTGACGTGATAGGGGTTCAATGACCGTGTAAGCTTTATTTAGCATTTTAATGAAATCAGATCATTCAATAGCAAGAGATATAAAACCTTTTATGTCATGGTATGATTCGTATTGGCATGCACCTACCAATGACACAATAATAAACCAAGAAGCAGGGTTGCAAAAGAAATTCAAAACAAAAATAAATGACTATATAAACCACACATGCTCAAACTGACAATAGAGAACAAGATCATTTGCCACAGTTGAACTAATCAAGTACAGGAGAATACTTACTTCACTGCCTGCTCAGTAAAATGCTTTCCGGGTTGCCTTTGCCTAAGTGTGTGCAAGTCGCCTCCAGGGCAGAACTCCATTACCAGACATGAATACTTCTCTGTCTCAAAATGGGTATATAGGGTTGGAAGGAAAGGATGGTCTAAACATTGAAGTATTTCTCTCTCAGTCTGAGCACGAAGAAGTTTTTTACGGTTAGCCAAAGATGCTTTGTCCATAACTTTCATTGCAAAATAACATTTTGTTCCGGTCAACTCTGAAAGATAGACACTTCCAATATCCCCACAGCCCAGCTTCTTCAGAAGTCTGAAATGGCCTAAACCAAATACACCATCCCTTGATCGGACAGCCTGAATTGCTTCCCAATGTATGTCATTTGCTTTGTGAGGTTTGTTGATGGCACTACTAAAGCTGCTACAAGTACTTTCATCACTGATGTCACTGCTAGTGCTGCCTCTACAGATACTGCTCTTCCCACTCTCAACAAAATCAGCTCGACCACTCATCTTGGTGCTTCCACTAGTCTTGGCAATACTGCTGGTCCCATCATCACTGACTTTCGCTGAAGTTGGGCTGATTCCATTTTCTGATGGTTTCTTTTTTTTATCACCGCCTCCTGGAAACTTCTTAGTCTCACCCGCAACAGGATCCACATCAGCTGGCACCTGCTTTGCATCACCCAGTGATAAAGCTGAACCTAACTGATCTGCTAAAGTTTTGGCAGACTCCTTCTGATAAGGAATCTTGCAGTTCTTCTCTTCAATAGTTTCTGTAGAAACATGCTTCGGCGCATCTTGTTGCACATGCCTAGGAAGTTTTTTCGGAGTGACTGGCTCTGATTTGCTTGTCTTTGTAACTGGAAGAGGTGAAGGTCTGCGGAAATTTCTTTCTGTTGTTTGACTAGCAATTAACTTCCTCTGAGTCTCTGGGGAAGAACTTCTGGCACCGGATTTAGAGGCCATCGACATATATTACACTTGATATAAAAGATCAAATTGAACAAATCCATTACTCATCCCCCAACCTCACCAACTGATTCCCTCCATTGACGCTCTCGATCAAATTCATCTTCAAGTCCATCAATTGCAAGTTAATTTCTACACACAAACAAAGAGTTCACCACTATGAAACAATAGATATAGTACAGTACAAGGAACACTATCTAATCCAATCTATAAATAATAAAACTATAGCGATAACATTTCAGCCCGAAAATAAAGACATCGAAATCATTACTACATCAACACAACCTAGTCTCAAGCTACAAAACCCACAAAGACAATCACTAACATTATTCCAAATGAATAACACACAAAGAAGTCGAAGAAACTGGAATTCTATAAACAAGACCTATCTTCAAGAGTTTCAGACTAGCTTTTTGTTCCAGCAGACCGGAATATAACATTTCATTAACAGTAAGCAGAAACGGTAAAAACCCTCATAGAGAACTCAAGAAATGGGCATCAAAGCACAGAGCTGCATGCAACCCAGAAGCACCAAGCTACAAAACAATCTAAAACCCCAACAAGTGATGGGTCAAAACTGAATCAAGAGTACAAGAGTCACAGTTATCTACCTCAAAAATGCCAATCCTTTTTCCAAAAGCACAAAACTTTCAACATAAAAAATGCCATGGATCAACGAGCCATGGGAGCTAAAGAAAAAACTCAACTGAATGTATGTAATTGTGTATCTATCAATTATCTATAAATACACACAAAACCCATAATCTATAGCAAAAGATAAGAAGCAAAGTAAAGAGATTCATACAGATCTCAATCAGGGACCCAACACTTTGGATCCAAAAGACCCAGATGCTAAAAAACCAAGATAAGAGTGCAATAGAGAAGCAAAAATCACCAAACAAATCAGGACCAGTTAAAAGTGAACAGAAAAGGAAACCCAAAAAAGATAGATACCTGGGCTTGAGAGAGAGAGAGAGAGAGAGAGAGAGAGAGAGAGATGGAGAAGCGAGAGAGAGCCTTCCACCAAAAATCAGAACTTTGAAAGGGTTTCTTGCTTTGGTTTTGCTTTAACAGAGTGGAAAGGAAAGTAAGAGGGAAAAGAGCACTCACAACTGTTGAGGGAGATAAAGGGAGAGAGAGCAATGTGTGAGAGCTCCTTTTTCCTGAAATGTGTGGAGAGAGAGGGAGGGAGAGAGGGAGAGAGAGAGAGAGAGAGAAGGTTCAGTAGTGAGTCAGATTAGAAAGACAGAGAGTTGGGTCTGGGGGGCTCTACTACGATGACCATCCATGTATTGAGGCTTTGAGTCTTTTGACAGAGATAATTGGGGTCAAAGCCATACTGCTAAAGTTAGGCTTTTTTTTTTTTTTTTTTTTTTAAATTTTTTTTATTGTTTGTTATTTTTTTGAACAAACGATATTATCTACCTGAAAGGATGTGGTCTTAGCTATACAATAAGCTAGCAATAATGTGTATTTTATTGTTTGTTATTAAGTTGTTTTTCTTTGTCTTTTATTATTACAGTCTAATTTTTGATATTTTTATTCATAAAGGAAATATTTTAAGTTTGTTCTTACAAGAAGCACATACATGCTGCTTCTTCCACAAACTACTTAAAATATTTTTGAAATCTAAAATTAATTTTACCTAAGATACTTTTATTCATTTTAAAGTATTTATAAACGAGTCATACTTCGTTATTTATAAACGAGTCATACATCCTTGTAACAAAATAAATTCTCTCTTTTTTGCTAATTATTAAGTTTTCTTCTTTTTGGAATTCAATTATTACGATGTATTTTGTCACAAATACAAGTGTCTGAATCAATTTATGGGCCCCACCAAGGCTCCACCCTGTCCCTCATGCTTTGGGAGTTTTGAGATTTTCGAATTATTTAAGGGTTTTGAGGACTTGGAAAATGACCAATTGACCAGGCATGTCCCCTGCTTTATGCCACTTTAAATATGATGTTTTTGTAAATTTGGGCGTTGATTAATATTTTACGGGCAAATGGTCCTCCAGAGTGCTAGTTGACGATATCATGATCCAATTGCTGGGGATTTGATTTTTTTTTTTTTTTCAAAAAGAGATTAGTTGGTGATTTTGTCACGACAAATTGACAATCTACTATTCAGAAGTCGACAAGATTTACAGAGATATTTCAGCATCTTCAGGGCATCATCATGTAATTCATCAGAGTTAAAAATTGAACTCAGAACGTGCCAGATGAAATACGGGTGTGGGATTGATTATTAACATGTTGGAAATTTGGAGAGGTGGGATCAAAGTGACCAAATTTTATGATGAATGCTTCTTTATGCATATAAACAACAATAGTTGGATCATGAAGCAAGGGTCAACATTTGGACTCTAAACTATATTAAAACAAATAAATTAAAGTTAGGTATCTCCTCTTATAATGTGTTCCCTCTTTGTATTTAAATTTGAATTATCATATTTATATGTTGAGTTATTTGAAATAAAATTTTATGATGAGTGCTTCTTTATGCATATAGACAATTAGCGATGATAATTAATATTGGAGGTTGTAGAAATGATCATTTTTAATAAGTTAAGTCATTTAGTATTACAGTCTAGTAGTATTTATCTTCACTCATAAGTGAGAGGTCTTAGGTTCGATTCTCGTCGAATGCAAATTTGAACCAAATTATTATTTGCCCATTATGAGGCTAAGTCCACCCTCTCCCTTTTAGTGTAGATAATATTGTTTGTGCAAAAAAATAAAAAAAAGTTAATAGCGACGACATAACAATGACATAACGACCATACAACAATGACATACTGATCATTTTTGCAACCAAATGTCAAAAAATTATCATTTCTCCCAATTTCCCTTTAAAATATTTAAATACAATATTGATAACCACTTAATATTGAGGTTTGGTGTTCTTTGGTTCGTGGTCCTAGGAATGAGGTTCAACTCGTATCATTCCTGGAAAAAAAGTTATGAGAAAAGTTAAGGAAACTCTCTAAAAAATATGATTTTCTATAAATTATCTGACACTTCATATGTTTAACACAATATTTTTAACGTTGACATAAATTGACGTTAAATTATGATAAAACAAAGGTTACATAAAAAATTTCACCTTAAGGTACCTCCCTTTACATTTCTCAAAAGTTTCTGTAAGCTTTCCCACTCCTATCTCCAACCACACTAAAAAATAGAGAGCCAGAACGGGAAGAGATTCCCTCCAGATCTCTCCCACCAAAGGCCACCAATCAATTAATCCGGATCTTTGAAATTTGATCCAACGGTTACAAACAGGAAGTCCCTTTAAAAGTTATAATAATTTTAACCGTTGATCAAATTTCAAGGGTCCGGATTAATTGATTGGTGGGTTTTGGTGGGAGAGATCTAGAGGGGGATAAGTTTTTAGTTGTGACGGGAACACAAATGGTACATCACGTGTTTTAATAGGAATTGTGAGAAATTTTATTTTTTAAGTTATTAACTTTTTAGCACATATATCCCACCATTTGTTTAGTGACACGTAGTATACCACCCGTGTACCGGTCATATTGAAAAATCTCTCCTGGAGGGGATCTGTTCCCAACTAGAACCTCCTAAAACCGAGTCAAGAGTACAACAGTCCAGCAAACCAAACAGGCCCCTTCCTTATAAACCTCATCTTCTTTACTTTTCAGGTTTAGGGTTAGGGTTTTGACCAGACGGAGACTCCGAAAATGGAGCCTGAGAGAAAGCTTTCGGCGGAGTCGCGGCCCATACTCCAAGAAGGTATAGGATTGGTTCTGTTTCGGTGGTCGGCGCTCCAATTGGCCGTCGAAAACGAGTGGGGCTCGTGCCGCAAAGCGGAGCAACTCGTCGCCGATATCTTCTCCTGGTTCAATCACTCCACAGGTACTTTGATTCCCTCATCTCCTCTAGCTCTACTCATCAGATTTTCCATTTTTTGTTGTTGTAAAGAATTGAGCTTGAATTTTGATTTGCTGCTTATTTTGTGGGGAATTATTATATAATTATTGTGTTTTCGTAATATTTTGTGAAGCATTGTTCTTATGAGGTTGGGTTAGGATTCAACAGGGAATTTGTAAGTGAAAGTAAGAACCTTTATCACTAAAAACTTCATTTTTGTGCTGAAATCTTCTTTTTTCGTATCAAATTTTGCGTTTTTAGTTCAGTTTTGGTGAGGTTTGCTTTGTCTTATAAATTATTTGTAGGAATATGATACAATGCGTTAAGTAAACTAGTAATTGAGTGGAACCTAATTGGTAGTTATAGTCAAATTAGCAATTTTTCAACACCGAATTGTATACGAAACTAATAATTTTTTCTGTGTCTTTTGAATGAAGATTTCTATGGTTCTAGCCAAGCAGAATGATTAACGAATGATGTGAATATTTTTACCGGTCGTTATTGTAACGAAATCTCACAAGTACGTGTTCATTCTCCCAGGAGCCTTTTTACGTAGAAGATTTGGAAGATACGCCGAATAAAGCTACGCTTTCTCTCAACACTATGACAGAGGATGGCAGCATTGAGGAGGTATTCCTTTTATACTTAACTTCGTCTTTTCGGAGAACACTTGATAGTATCTTGATGGAGTATGAAATGGAGAAGATTTAATATGTTATGCTTCTGGTGGGAAACTCAAAAGTACTTTGCTTCCTCTATGGATTGTGTTGGCAACTTGGCATGGCTTTGAATGGACCACCATTGCAAAGGTTTGTAATGTGTGTGTTCCAGACCACCCGCTTTTAAAACCGAAACCTTTCAGTATCAACTACATTTAAGTTGGCAGCTAAGAATCAGCTGCATCTCCAGCCATTGGAGATAGATGGACAATTTACGGTTCATTATTGTTTCTATAAAGTGGATGGTACTAGGGAGTAGGGAAGCAACCTTTACTTTTAGTAATGGTTTCTATCTTTATGGTGTTTGCGGTTTCGTTTTCTTTGGATTTAAACAGGTAGCTGAAAAGCTAATGATTATGTATGAAGAATGTTTAGATTGTAATTTCAAGTCGATTGAAAGCCTAAAGGAAGCCAATCAACGAAAAGTTGCTGTTCCACATGTTAGAGAGGTAAAGCTTCATTTAAAACCCTCTGCCTTTAAATGTTTTAATATAAACTTCTCTTGTCCAGTGACAGCATGCTTTTTTTTCAAATTTATTGAAAAGAACTTGTGGATGTTGTCTTGAAAGTTTTCTTCGAAAGCCATCAGTGGCGGAGTGAGGATGATACGTTTGAATGATATGCCTTGCTAAAATCTCTTAATTCTCTTTGTCACTCATGCCAGGTTGCAAATGATGACGATGACGATAGTGATTAAGATAATGATGATGGAGATCATAGCATGGGAAATGATGATTCCTCGAACATGATGGTAGACATACCAGAGGCTCATTCAAACTTAAATCCTGTCAACGTATCAGGCAATGAGCCAACGCCCAAGCCGGCGGCCGAAGCAGAAGATGGATGGGAGGTAGTCGGAGCTAGAAAACATAGGGGTAAAAGGAATTAGCTTGAGCCCCCTCCCCCCCTCCCTTCTGCTCAACATTTTTTTCGTTTTACTCTCTGAAGTAGAGTGAATATGTGTATAAGTTGGATCAAATACCATTAATCTACGGATAATCACTTCATTTATACGATATACGGTCCCAACTTTTGTACATTCTGAGCGTATCACTGTGTACAATCCTCCAATCTTATAATTCTTCGTGGATCTTGCTTGCTTTGCACAAAAATGTTAACCTCCGCATGTACAAACTCTCGTTTGCATCGATGATGCTCGGAATGGAAGTGAAGGAGGTTTGTGTTAGATCAGTTGTACCTGCTGCTTTGCTATCAAGTTCAAGTCCGTATTCTCTAGACAAGGATTAACTTAGAATATTGTCTTGTAAAAAAATAAAAAAAGGCGAGCTTCACGCAAAAGAAACAGCAATAATTGTACTTGATATAACAAAAAGTGAGGAGAAAAGAGAATGATATCGCAGTCTGGAGCTGACTAACCGCGTGATCCGGACCGTTTAAAAGAGATAGAGATCTGGCTCTTGATTTTTGTGAGGTAGGTAAGTAGAATGGACTAATGGGAGCTGTAAAATTTGAAATAAGTAATCTAGATTACTGATTAATAAGGGTTGTAAAATTTGAAATAAGTAGTCTAGATTATTTGATTTGTCGTCTCAAGACTACAAGATCTAGAGAGAATCTCGATTGGAGAAAAGAAACAAGTAATTAATGCAAACAGTTGAAGACGGAACAAAGAGTGGCTTCTCGTGCTCTCCAACAGCAAACTGTCTGGCAATGTCTTAGGAAATATACCCAACAGCCAACATCTAACGTTTTATGTTTTCAAAAAAGATTTGATTTTCACATCTTTTCACAAACATTTCCACTTATTGCTACAATCATCCTTCCCACAAACTTCATATGTAAGATAAATCAAGTTTTTCATAATCTCTTGTATGCATGGAATCATTACTATGTGCAGACAAATCAGAATTTGGGACTTGGGGCTATGGTACATGGATTTATTTAAGGTTTGTTTGAAAGTGCTTTTAAAATGATTGAAAACGTTTTTATAAAAAATATGTTTTGGTTCCAAAAGGACTTGAAGTGCATCCTGCAAGAAGCACGTCAAGTGTTTTTCAGGATTCACTTGCATTTTTACTAATGATTGGTTCCAAAGCCATTTTCTTCAGAACACACTTCGTCATTTTAAAAACACTTTCAAATGTGTGTTTGATATACTTACCATCTAACTGTCAAATATGATCAGATATGATATATATGAGACCCGTACAAGCTGAATGCGCAGAATTTGACATTACATGGAAACAGCTTTTGCAACGAGATGTTTTTGTTTGTGTCGGACAATAGTTTGCGGTTACCAGGGAGTAGATCTACTTGTAAAAACCAAAACAGTGTTCTATAATTGTACACCAATAACCCCTTAGAATTAAATCTAAAGGAAAACTAACTAAAAGTTCAAAAAACCTTCATTTTTAATGAAAAGCCTTTTTTAAAGGTATAGTGAATAGTATCAGGAAAAGGTATAAATGTGATTTTTCGTTAAAAATGAACAGTATCGGGAATGTTTTATTAAAACTCCCTTAATCTAATTGGTGAGTTTTGGGGAAGGAAATGGTTTACAATTAGGTTAGGTCAAAAAGTTCGATTTATTGTGCTATGTGGAAAGTCGAACTGTCATATGGGAGGCAATAGAGAACTGAATTCTAGCCTTTGGATCGAATAAAAAAGAAGAATCAAGGGCTATATATTAACAAAAGTGAGCTTACGGAAAAAACGGTGTGTCGAAATCATTTCCCGCAGTCGTAGAATACTCTGATGGGCAAACCAAAACACATGAACAAAGAAAAATGCCGATCTTACTGCAAATTAAGAATTTCACTTCACATTGGGACGTGGATTCGTGATCTCAATAAACATACACGCTATCAAAACTAGATGTTTCACTGTTCTTTCTAGCCTCATTTTCTTTCTACACAAAAACCCGAGCTTTAAGAAAGATCAGAAATAACACGATCACACTTGTCTTCCAGAATCTTCACAGCTTCAGTAAATAAGACTTCGGGAGGCAATACCCCAGTCGATTCAATTTTAACTGTGCAAATCAGAGAGCGAGAGAGCGTTAGAACTCTAAAAAAATTCGGTGAAAGAATTTGTTGCTATATTAAAACTTAATGTTCCTATATAAACCTTACGCGTAAGCATCTACATTGAAAATATCTGGTAAGCTCGTAACTGACAATGATCAAAGTCCGCGCTTACCAGATATTTTCAAACTGAATTCAGATGTTCTGAAACCCGAGTAAGTGATTTCAAACTGAAATTTATACAGTTGTGTCATGAGGACTAAAGCTACAATTCTAGGATACCATCAGCAACGAGAAAGCAAGAGAAATTTATAGTTCCAAACACAGAAGCAATCACTTACAAATGAAATGATCCTTGTTACGCTGCAGAGATATAGAATTCTCCCAACCCTTCCCTTCTCCGATGCACTCCCTGCACAGTGTGCAAGCTCGTGGCCTGGCTACAGTTGCCCTTTTCTTGCCTGCTAACCAGTCAAATTATCAATCAAAGCCGCTCCAGAATTGACAAAACAAGGCAAACTGTAACTAAGCAAGTGCAGATATAACAACATTTTTTGAAATCCAAATATTGGGACAACCCCACATGATTGTATCATTTTTTCGCAATAATTCCTTTCTACCAGTCTAGTATCTAGAACAGCGAGAATGAATTCCATAAAAGGATAATCACTAACCGTTGCCAATATCTTCAATATCGAATACTTTAACCTAATAAGAAATAAAACAATCATTTAAGATTACTTCAACATCATATTCATGGTGTTTCCAAAATAACTGAAACAACATCCCCTTACCTCAGGAAGCATCCTATACCAAACAGGGGCAACTGGAGACCATTTTGCATGTGTTTTACCAATGCCCTTAACCGCATGTGCTTCCAGTTCAATTACCTAAAAAGAGGTAACTTAACGTCACTTAAAAGTAAATTCACAAGAACAGTAAACATTATTGACTACTAGATAGAATAATGCTGCATAACGAAACACTAATTGGAGTCGATTGCTCCACATAAAACTTTAGGCATGTGCTTAAGTTGCAGAGTGAAAAGTGCTATCTATGATTTCTGAGCAAAGACCATAACTATACAAAACAAATAACATGTTTACCTGACCAGGGCCTAGTCTAGCAATTATAATATCTCCACTCGTGGGGTCAATTGGATTGTCGGAAAATTCTGGCAAGGAATCCTGACTGCAAGTAAACGATGTATATGTTTTTTGTTTTGAGGATGACTCTGGGTTGGTATCTTGTGATTCCAAGGGAAACTCACTCCCATTTGGCAACCAAATCAATTCTTTTGACTTTACTGCATAAAATGTTGCAAAGTCATCATAACCAAAAAGAAAATTCCAACCAACAGTCTTGAAGAAAGATAGGTCTATAAAACTTACTGAGAATCTAAGACACAGAACCATACCTGAAGTACGCTGTCCCCCCTCGTTTACATTGTACATGGAGCTTAAAAACAATGGTGTTCTTCTCATTTGATGTATTATTTCCTAAAGGTAAAACATGACAGGAAAGAACTCAGCGACTCAAATATGTATAGGAAATAAACAAAATATGAATTTGGTTTATATAAAAGAATGGAAATACCAAACCATAGTACCTGTAAATTCAAATAATCTGGGGTCAACCTTTATCGGAATGAGACCCAACCTGTGGGCAAGTACTTCATCTTGGATCACTGATGTATTGTCTGCAATAAGAACTTTTTCAATAGCCATTGTGGGAACCTGCAATTGTATATTAAAACAAGTTTAGATCAGCGTTGGGAATACATACTGCCAACTGAATAGCAACTCTCATAAACACACCTAGCCTTAACCCAAGGAAATAAGAGAAGTAGTTACAAACTTCCATCTGATGTACATTACAAAGCGGGAAAAACATAAATAAAAGCGGGGAATTGAATAGCATAAAACTTCTCCCTCCCGTTGATCAAAGATAAAAGTTTCCCCCCTTTGCACAACTAAATCGTTAAGTCAAGAAATGAAGATGAGGGGATAAAATGAAAGTCCAGGAAAGAAAAAAAAAATAAAAAAAACATGATTATTTATTATATTCAGAAGATTAAGCCAACTAAAACAAACTCATGGCAGCAGAAGTAACTAATTTACACAAGTTTTGTTCTTGGAAACAATGACACAAACTTGTTAGTAACCCAAGAAATTAACCATGCAACCACTCAAACCTTTTTTTAGAAGTAACAAGTTGAAAACAAAACCCTCAAGTACACGGATACATATTCTTTTCCTTGATGCTTAAGCAGTAACCACTATGTCAATACAAAGAAGATGACACTTGGGCCCATGAAAATGGTATTATGAATATAGAACTAGTATATGAACTTCATACAATACTGACAACTGATGAAGCATAATTTAATCAACCATACTCAAGTACTCATGAATTTAATCAAACCTCAGCTATGAGGATTCTCCGGAATGCATTGGCAAGTGCTGGATCAATGCTGATCATATCAAACTCCATCTCATCCTCCGTAAGATTAATAACTTCAACTTTAAAGTTGTCACAGAAGCTATCCAATAAGTTATTATCGACTCCCATTGATGCATAAGCACCATTATACCGAAAAGTATCAGTCTGTAAACACCAAAAGTTAAAACATGTAAGAAATAAGAACAATAAAAACTCATCAATGCATTTCCTCAATTTCACATTGAGAAAAATGAAACAAAATCATGGGCACGTACAGATTTCTCATTTCAGAGAACAAAAATTGAAAAACACAAAAAAAAGGTTATGGAAAAACTGTTACATGAATGGGAGCATCAGCCTTGCACTCGACATGCGTCCTCTGGAATTCGATATTTGGGGGCATGTTGAAACGATTATTATTATTATTTCTGCCACGATTGGAATTTTAGGGAAACGAGTGCTGAAGAGGCTGAGTCTGAGCAGCAATATTTGTGGAGATGGCGTAGGAACCAATGGTGCCTGAGACTGCATAGAGAATGCATGAAAATGCTCAGTTGCAGATGAAGAGACTGCTTGATTTCGACGAGCCATAGAGAGTTCCTTGGTGAGTAAA